AGACTAGTGGTTGGTGCAGAGGAGAGCTGAGAGATCAACTGGACAAGAGCAAAGGATCTTGGCAGGGAAGCCTGAATGTGACACAAGAGATGAGGAAACTTCCACAAAAACAATTTCAGTAAGTTTGCTGCATCGGTGAAGTGTTCTGTCTTAGTAAGATGCAGAGGAGATTTTAACATTAATAGTTGGAAAACCTGGCTACACAAATCATTCGGCATTTTATGTATAATCGATTCAAAGCTACAAGAGTGAACGAAGACATTTGCAATGTTTTTGCTATGAATGCAGACAATGTTATATAGCATATTGGAAGTAGGGAGGGAAGAGGAGAGGGGTGGGATTGGGACCTCTAAGGAATTCATCTTTTTGATATAATATCTTTTATTTCATACATATTTGTTTCCAGCATACATTTTCTAGGTGAGATCTATTGAAAAAACTATAGACTATCACATTTAAAGCAAAGGAAAAGAATCCTGAGGTGTGGCTGGGTTAACATTTTTTTTCACTTTCTAAAGGAATATCAAAATATTTTATTTTATATAGGGTCTTGCCAGGGAAAAATCATTATTTTAAATCAAATATTTCATGGGAAGAAAAATGGAATTTTTCCATTCTTAGCATGACACTTGGAGACATTATTGATGGGAATGTCAAAGCCACTGAGTTTGTTACTCTCCTCCTTACCCCTGCCCTTGTTTTATTATACCCAGGACTTGCACAGGAAGATGTCCAACTGGACCACTGTAACCGAGTTCCTCCTCCGGGGCTTCTCGGACACTCGGGAGCTGCAGATCTTGCACTTTGTCATCTTTCTGGCAGCGTACCTGGCAGCTCTGGTGGGGAACCTCCTTGTTATCACTGTTGTTACTACGGACCACCACCTCCACAGCCCCATGTACTACTTCTTGGCAAATTTGTCCATCCTTGACCTTGGCTCCATCTCTGTCATTGTCCCCAAATCCATGACCAAGTCTCTCTCAAACACCAGGACAATTTCCTACGCTGGATGTGTGTCCCAGGTATCTCTCTTCTTCCTCTTTTGTGCAGCCAATCTTGCATTCCTCACCATCATGGCATATGACCGGTACGTTGCCATCTGCAAGCCACTGCATTATGATATGATAATGAACATGAGAGCTTGCATCCAGATGGCTGCCGGTGCTTGGACAGCTGGTGTCATGTACTCTGCACTGCACACTGGGAACACCTTTAGTCTCCCCTTCTGCCACTCAAATATCATCAACCAGTTCTTCTGTGAAATACCCCAGCTGCTCAAGCTCTCCAGCTCTGGCGCATACCGCAGGGAGCTGGAAGCTGTTGCCTTCAGTGTGTTTTTATGTTTC